ACCAACTCCTGGAACGTCTTCCCGTCGAGGGCGCGGCGCCTCGCAGGTCACCCCGGCGCGCCAGCCAAGCGCGCACCTCCAATGGACTTTCGCATCGCAAATGCCCCCCAAGGCCCCCGCCCCTAGTCGCCCGACCCCCCCCCGCGTCAGCTGGCGCGCCCTCTGCGGCCGCGTCGTCCTCGGGGCCGGCGGAGCCGACGCCATCCTTGAATATGCGTCGCGCGCCGCTGCCTCCTCGCAGCGCCGATGACGCGCTGGGCGCTGAGGGCCTCGATGTCAACGCCATGGGCTCGGGTCGACTGCGCCCCCGCCCCCCTGCGAAGTGCGCAGCGCCCGGCCTCGACCTTGGAAATTGTGCACCTCTGCAAGCCGAAGCAATGGGAGAAAGCGAGCTCTTGCGCGAGGCCGTCTACGGGGGGCCCTTTTTCGGCGCGATGGCGGTCGACGAACGCCCCCGCGAACGGGCCCCGCAGACAACGAGGGCCCCACAAACCACCTAGAGGAAGGCCATCGTGGGACGGGACTCGCGCTGGACAGCTTACAGCTCTTGCGCCCAGTATCCGCTCGACGGAACTTAAGACACGCCGAGCGATGCGAAACCGGCAAGAGCACATGGAAGACTGGGGCTGCAAACAACAGAACGTCGGTTAGCTAAAACAAACCCCCTGCCCAACGCTCCACTCGCAGCGCCAGTCAGGCGGAACCCCATGGCAAGCCACCCCGCAGCTAGAAGACGATGATCATGTGCTCTCGCCTCTGCCGCCTGCCGGCTGTTCTCCCACTCCTGGCCCACGAATCACAGCTGGCGTTTCATGCGCTGTCTCAGGGGCCCCATGGCGAATCTGGCCAGTAGGCGTTGCGGCCACGGCGAAGTCACCAACCGCTCTGCAGCGCGGTCACGATGTTTCTCACTGTCCCCGGCAGAGGGTGCGCCTTGCGAGCCGCCATCCTTCTGGCCGTGATCATCGGCGCCCGCGCCATGGTCGGCGTCGTCTCCGCGTGGACCCGCGGCAGCATCAGCATGGGCGCCGAGCGACGTGGCACGGGCGTGCGCTGCCCGAAATCCGCTCGACGAACAATGGGCAGGTAGCCGACGCGAACCCGCGGCAAGCTCCGAGCAAGGCGATTTCCCTGCGCGCTCGGTCGCCCGTGGCCCACCGGCGCTGAAGGTGCACAGTGTGCTTGGCAGCGGGCGCAGCAGATATCAACCCACAACTCAAGACTGTCGAAAGCGATCCTCATTGGTAACCCTGCTTCTGGGACCCAGATTTCAACCTGACCAATACCCTCCCAGCTCCCAGTTGGAAGGCACTGCACCGAGAATCGTTTCTCTAATTTTCGCGAAGCACCAATGAGACACAAGCCGAGGAACGCCTTCCTCCTGCGCTGGTATCGAAGTGGCGACACACCGTACATGACTTCCAGACGCTGCTGAATAACTTCTGTCAAACACAACCGTCACGTTGTCGAGTTCATGCCAAGGTGCACGGATAGCGCAACATGTACATGGCCCGAGATCGCGCTTTCAACCAGGTTCACTATTCTTATAAAGACACCTGCCGTATTGTGAACCTCGCAGTAGATGCACAAGCGGATCCACTCACACGCGTCCACTCAATATTTCAGAAGTGCTGGCTCACTCCGATCATTCGCCCCGCGACGGTCGCATCAGGCAAGTCTCACCCTATGGTACAGAACAACTGTCCACCGCCGATTGTCTCAACACCTCTCCTGTTTCCCTCGAAGTACGGTAACCAGTTGGACGCGTTGCCTGTGTTCGCGAAGACATTGCCTTCCTTCAGGAAGACCATGCCGATAATTGGCTCGAATTGCAACAACTTCCGAGTAACTGTCGCCCCGTCCTTTGCCTGGCAGTATTGGGTAAACATCATGTGACGTCAACACGTGTTGAGTTGGTTTAAGTGACACTAAGAGTGAAGCTACAGATGCATTGGTTGCTGCCCGCAATGGCAGTGAATCTGGCGCTGGTGGCCTCATTCTGAAGGGTCTGATCGGCACGGTCTGCATCCACGTACATGAGTAAATCTTCGCCGCACGAGGTGGAGACAATGCTAGTCTGACTATATTGCCGAATCAATCTCCCCAAATAGACAAGAACAGCAGCAAATTGTATGGTGCCTAGTTTCATGGCCCGAATGTTTTCCATTCCAGCGGCTTCCCATTAGTTGTGAAAGCGCACGCTGGCAAATATGCAGCACGCCTCAAAGTATCGACAAATCTGCTCATGCCTGCCAACGCTTCAACCGACATATCAACGGGAGGAACCTCTCGGATCATGCACGCAATAAACGGGCGAAGTGCATTCACATGTCGAGCTCCGTCGCCCCACATCGCTCTGGAACCCACCAAATTTGTAGATGGGTGCCCTCGCACCCTGATTCGCTGGAGGCTTGGGTGCTGGAGGTTATGCCTGCTGCGCTTTTCTTGCCGCCTTCGCGGCGAGAGCATCTGCGAGCTGTTGACCTCGGGTGCGAGTTGGGGGGGGGGAGGAGTTCGAACTGGTAGTGCCCGCCCCCCCCCGATTGTCGAGGGGGGGGGACGGGTTGGGAACCCCCGGTGACTCCGCCCCCCGGGTTTTCCGCCAGCAGCGGTAGAACACGCTCTTTCGAATACATATAAATACACACATAGATACACACATGCATGCATGCATGCGTACATACATACATCAGAATGAGGGTGCCGAACGGTCATTCAGTGTCCCTGGGTGCGTGGCTGAAGTGAGAATCCGTGGTGAGGAATATGGTTGTTGCGTTGTTGTTGTTGGTTGTGGTGGTGTTGCTGTTGCTGTTGCTGTTGCTGTCGTTGTTGTTGTTGCTGTTGCTGGTGTTGCTGTTGATGTTGCTGTTGTTGTTGTCGTTGGCGATGTTGTTGCTGTTGGTGGTGTTGTTTGCTGTTGAACTCTCATTCCTGAAGAATCAGTATTGTTGATCCCCTCTCACTGGTGCATGCTCCTTTTTCTCCATCAAAGTGTGACCCTCGACTCTCGCACCCTTGGTGCTCAAACTGTGCCCTTGGCCCGCCGGATTACAACAACAACGGCTCCCGCCTGAGACTTCCTCCAAGTTTACTCAGGACCCCCGCTCCTGAGACTTCCTCACAATTTACTCAGGATCGGTGCTCCCGCCTGCGACCCCCTCGCAGTTTAGTCAGGACCCCCGCTCCCATCTGAGATTTCCTCACAAGTTACTCAGGAACGGCGCTCCCGCTTGAGACTTCCTTGCAATTGAATCACAACGTCCTCGCAACTCAATCAAGACCCCCGCTCCCGCCGAGGACTTCCTCAAACGTTCACGCTCTTACCTTCTTGCCCCTCCTCCCTCCTCCCTCCTCCCCCCCCTCCTCCCTTCTCTTTCCCTCCTCTCTTCCCTCACCCGTAGGCCTCTCTGCCCTATCCCTTGTCCCTCCTCTCCCTCCTCCCTTCTCCCTCCCCTCTCCTGCCTCCTCCCTCCCTTACTATTTCTCTCCATATGTCTCTCTCTCTCTCTCTCTGCCCTCTTTATCTCTCTCTCTCTCTCTCTCTTTCTCTCTCTGCTTCTATCTCTCTTATGTGTTGTTCTCTTTTTCTCTCTCTCTCTCTCTCTCTCTCTCTCGCTCTCTCTCCCTCTCGCTCTTTTTTTCTCTCTCTCTCTCTCTCTCTCTCTCTCTCTCTCTCTCTCTCTCTCTCTGCGTCTAATCAACCGCCCCCCTCTTCGCTCGTTCCTCATTGCGTTTTCTCTGTTCCTTCGTCCCTCCCCCTCCCTTCCTCCCACTCTTCATCGTTCTCCCCCTCCTCTTGTTGCAGGGCCCACACCAATTCCAATGGCGGGCACATGTACGCCCACGAAGGATTGTCCGCCCGTTCAGGTTTGCCCGCCTGTCTAAGCCCGCCGCCCTCCGCAAAGAGAAAGAATATCCCCCAAAGGGGGTGTGATCGCAGACAAAAAGGGCGGGGTGTGGGGAACTCGTTTTGAAGGGCACGCAGGCAAGTAAGAGCGAAGAATTTAGAATGATTGTTGTTGTTGTTGTTGGTGTTGTTGTTGTCGTCGTCCCCCCCGCGACCCACCCGCGACCCACCCCGCGACCCACCCCGCGACGCGCCCGCGACCCACCCCACGACCCACTTTGCGACCCGCCCGCGACCCAACCCGCGACCCACCCGCAACCCACCCCGCGACCCACCCCGCGACCCACCCGCGACCCACACGCCACCCACCGAGCGACCCATCCGCGACCCACCCGCGACCCACCCGCGACCCACCCGCGACCCACCCGACCCACCGCGACCCACCCGCGGCCCACCCCGCGACCCACCCGCGACCCACCCGCGACCCACCCGCGACCGATCCTCATTTGTTTGAAGAAAAATCGGCACCCGCGGTGGGCTCGTGATATAACGTGTAAAGCTTTGGTGCCTGCGGCGGGCTTCTGCAGAGTCTCGCAGACTGCCGACATCCCCACCGCCCCCCACATACATAAAGATACACAGACATGCATGCATGCATGCATGCATGCATGCAGGCATGCACAAATACATGTCGTCCCATCTCTCTCTCTCACTCTCTTTCCCTCTTGACATACATGCTCACATTGAAAAGAAACTCCACGAGAGGCCATCTGACTACCAAGTAGTACGTGAGAACTATGGCTGGCGCCACCCCTGCTGAGGTCTCCAGCAGAGCACATACCAGAAGAAACGACAGAGAAACCTCGGTGCGAATGAGGAACGGACGAGGAGAGAGCGCGGCAGTGCGGAAACGGGGTCTTCCAAGATGCCATCGCTCGAAAAAAAACATGGGGATAACCATAATCAGTCGGAGGTCCGCGCGGATTTCTTGGATCGTCGCTAGGACCCCACTCCTTGGCGCGCGGAACGCGCCAGGGGCGGCGCTGGAGGCGCCGCCAGGGGGGCCCAGCGCAGATGCACGAAGTATGTGCGGACCTCCGAAAGTTTCGGTTTAGACCGGCTTCTCACATTCCAGAGAGCTGCCACGGCCTGCCTCGGGGCCCGTCGACCAGTCGACCTTCTTGGAGCCCGATGGGGAGTCGGCGGCGGCTTTGGCGTCCAGCGCGGCCTTCATGGCGATCTGGGCCGCCTCCTGGGGATCTGGCGACGACAGCATATCGCGGAGACGAATAACCGGGGAGTCAGCGTTTCGTCGCAAAATGGCGACGAGGCTGTGGGTCAAGATCGCGAACCCCTTCGCCGAAGGCCCAAGGCCCCAAACGAAAAGCATCACGGGCCGTAGAGCGCAAAAGCGAGGAACATGCAGGCTCCCCTCTGAAGAGAGGGTTGGTCTCAAGTCTCGCGCCAGCTGTACCAAGCAAAGGTGACAATGAAGGGCACAAAACGAGACACGCGCAGGCTACAGCTGCAGCATTCTGAACGCAGCATTGGCGATAAAGCGCGAGAGAGGCATACAGCAGAAGGTTGGCAACCTTTTCATGTAATCAACGCGTCGCGGTTTGCAGTACCGACGCTGCTGCAGCGCCAATTTTAGAAAGGGACGACGATGAAGGCGAAGGCTAAGAGAAGTGGTTCGAGAACCAAAATGAGGGTCATGTAGGCGTCAGGGAACTGGGCGTCAAAAGCACCGCCGCTCTGCCGCTTGAGAATCGGAGGCGGTACACGACTGAATCCGCCGACTCTTGCAGGGGGTGAAAAGGCATGTGAGATGTTCGGTTGCGCCCCTCCCCCTCCCCCCCTCCCGAGAATCCCAAATCAAGTGTGAGGACGGGGGTCCCCCCCACGAGCTCGTCGAGTGCCCCTGTGGCCCCTGAGCACTCCCTGCCATGCCTTCGGAGACCATGGAAGCCCCCCGGATGGCCCAGATGGCCAGCCATGGGGCTCACTGAAAGACTTCGGGGGCCATTGTGGAGGGCCTGAGGCCCGGGCCAGGAGGCCCAGGCTGGCAGGATAAAATCATGTGGGAAACACAGCGGTTCGCATGCGTTCCACACACACACACACACACACTCGGCTCTGTTGATCGCGTACACGACGAACCCACGAAGCCACCAAGATCCGCCCACGAAAGCGGGGAAGCTCGAAAGGGGGGGTAACCCCAAAAACCGCCAGCAGGGCCCCAAGAGGCACCAAGAGGCCGCCAGAGGCTCCAAGAGGCACCTGGGGAGCCCCCAAGAAGCCTGCAGGAAACCCACAAAAGGCCCCACAGGGGCCTCGAGGAGGCCCCCGAGAGGCACCCCACGAGGCCTCCAATCAGAATTTTGCCGACCTGCCTGCGACCCAGGCACGGTGGCGGGATGGGCCGAAGACCTCTAGATCCGCCGCCCCCTGCTTGCAGGGGTGCACGGCGTGCTGGATGATTCAGTTTTGGTTTTGGTTCTTTTTCTAAAAGAACTCCCCAGTGGGCTTCGGCCCGTCCCGCCGGCCACCCGCGAATTTCCCAAAATGCGTCTGTCAATGCCCAAAAACGGCCGTTTCGCTCGGGACATCCTCAAAAAATCGCGAAGATGGCCCAAGATGGCCTCCAAGTCCGCCCGAGATGGTCCAAGACGGCCTCCAAAACGGCCCAAGAGAGTCCAAGACGGCCCAAGACGGCCCAAGAGGCCCCCCAGAGGCCTCCCAGACGGCCCAAGAGGCCTCCAAGAGGTCCTCCAGGAGAGTCCGAAGAGGCCAAAATCATTGATTTTCCCTTGGTTTTTGAAGGATTTTGGCATTTGCGCCTTTTCGGCTCTCCGACGGCTCAAGACGGCCCAAGAAGCCCCCAAGATCGCCCAAGAGGCCCCCAAGAGAGCCCCATGATGGCCCAAGTGGCCTCCAAGATGGCCCCTAGAGGGCCCCAAGAGGGCCCAAGAGGCCTCCAACACGCCCAAGATGGCCTCCAAGACAGATGGCCTCCAAGACGGCCCTGGAGCATTCCAAGCGGGCCCCAAGTCGGCCCATAGAGGCCCCCCAAACGGCTTCCGACGGCTTCAGACGTGCCAGGAACCCACCAAGATGGCCGAAGTTGGCTCGAAGCTGGCCCGAGACGGCCCAAAAAGCCCCAAAGATCGCCCAAAGCTTGCCCAAGAGGCCTCCAAGACGGCCAAGATGACCTTCAAGATGCCCACGTGTTCCCCGAAGGCTTTCCAAACCGATTCGGGGAACACGTGGTCCGATAGCTTGGCAGGTCTGGCCTCAACGTTCGGCCACATAGGCGCTTCCAAAAAGGCAGGGGGCGGCGGTGATTCGCCGTAGGCGTCTTCGATCCGCCGCCCCCTGTCGATGCATCGCAGGGGTGCCTGGCGTGCTGGATTTGTTCGGTTTTGGTGTTGGTTCTTTTTCCAAAAGAACGCTCCCAATGGGTTTCGGCCCGTCCCGCCGGCCGCCCCCCAAGACCCGCAAGACGCACACGCCATCGCCCAATCCCAATTCTTCCTCCAAGACGGCCCAACATGGCCTCCAGGATGGTCACATTGGCCCAAGATGGCCTCCAAGATGGTCCAAGATGGCCTCCAAGTCCACCCAAGATGGTCTAAGACGGCCTCCGAGACGGCCCAAGAGGGTCCAAGATACCTCCAAGTTCGCCCAAGAAGCCTCCAAGACTGCCCAAGAGGCCTCCAAGAGGTTTTCCAGGAGGGCCCGAAAAGGCCAAAATCGTCAATTCTACAACGGTGTTGGAAGGGTTTGGTGTTTTGTCTTTTCGGCTTCCCGACGCTCCAAGACAGCCTAGGAGGCCTCCAAGAGCGCCCCAAGACGGCCCAAGAGGCCCACAAGAGGGCCCCATGACGGCCCAAGACGGCCCCAAGACGGCCGCAAGAGGGCCCAAACACGGCCCAAGAGGCCTCCAAGACGCCCAAGATGGCCTCCAAGACGGCCCCGAGGCGGCCCGAGACGGCCCAAGAGCCCCCAAAGATCGCCGAAAGATCGCCCAAGAGGCCTCCAAGACGGCCAAGATGACCTTCAAGATGTCCACGTGTTCCCCGAAGGCTTTCCAAACCGATTCGGGGAACGCATGGCCCGATGGCGTGGCAGGTCTCGCCTCAACGTTCGGCCACATAGGCGCTTCCACAAAGGCAGGGGGCGGCGGTGGTTCGCCGTAGGCGTCTTCGATCCGCCGCCCCCTGTCGATTCATCGCAGGGGTGCCTGGCGTGCTAGACCTCTCGGTTATGGTTTTGGCTCTTTTTCCAAAAGAACTCTCCCAATTGATTTCGGCCCGTCCCGCCGGGGTCCCAGAGGCCCTTCCAGGAGCGCAAACTCCGGAAAAAAATCCTCCCTGAACGGCCGTTTCGCTCGGGACATCCTCAAAAAAATCGCGGAGATGGCCCAGGATGGCCTCCAAGTCCGCCCAAGATGGGCCAAGACGGCCTCCAAGACGGCCCAAGAGAGTCCAAGACGGACCAAGACGGCCCAAGAGGCCCCCGAGAGGCCTCCCAGACGGCCCAAGAGGCCTCCAAGAGGTCCTCCAGGAGGGCCCGAAGAGGCCAAAACCATTGATTTTCCTCAGGTTTTTGAAAGAGTTTGGAATTTGCTTCTTCTCGGCATTCCGACTGCTCAAGATGGCCCTAGAGGCTCCCAAGATCGTTCAAGAGGCCCCCAAGAGGGCCCCATGACGGCCCAAGTGGCCTCCAAGACGGCCCCAAGAGGGCCCCAAGACGGCCCAGATGGCCTCCAAGACGCCCAAGATGGTCTCCAAGACGGCCCCGAAGCGCCCCAAGAGGGTCCCCCGTTGGCCCAGAAAGGCCCCCAAGACGGCTCCCGACGGCGTCAGACGTGCCAGGAACCCACCAAGATGGCCGAAGTTGGCTCGAAGCTGGCCCAAGACGGCCCAAGAGGCCCCCAAGAGGGCCTCCAGGAAGGCCAGAAAAGGCCGAAATCATTGATTTGTCTTAGGTTTTCGAAGGATTTTGGCATGTCCTTCTTTTCGGCCTTCCGACGGCCCGAGACGGCCCAAGAGCCCCCAAAGATCGCCGAAAGATCGCCCAAGAGGCCTCCAAGACGGCCAAGATGACCTTCAAGATGCCCACGTGTTCCCCGAAGGCTTTCCAAACCGATTCGGGGAACACATGGTCCGATGGCTTGGCAGGTCTGGCCTCAACGTTCGGCCACATAGGCGCTTCCAAAAAGGAAGGGGGCGGCGGTGATTCGCCGTAGGACTCTTCGATCCGCCGCCCGGTGTCGATTCATCGCAGGGGTGCCTGGCGTGCTGGACATATCGGTTATGGTTTTGGCTCTTTTTTTCCAAAAGAACTCCCCCAGGCGCGTCGGCCCGTCCCGCCGGGGCCCCAGAGGCCCTTCCAGGAGCGCAAACTCTGGAAAAATCCTCCCTGAAACGGCCGTTTCGCTCGGGACATCCTCAACAAATCGCGGAGATGGCCCAGGATGGCCTCCAAGTCCGCCCAAGATGGTCCAAGACAGCCTCCAAGACGGCCCAAGAGAGTCCAAGACGGACCAAGACGGCCCAAGAGGCCCCCGAAAGGCCTCCCAGACGGCCCAAGAGGTCGAAAGTGACTATGGTAAGTCAAATAGCATCCGATTCCATGGGAATCGGATGGCAAATAGCGTCCGGCATCGTACTGAGGTTGTTCAGTAAGAGGAATGGACGGATAAGATGGGATAAGATCGATGTAATGATCTTTCCAACACATAGCGAGCACAAGCAGTGTCTGGGCAAATAGGGCGCGCGTGCCTTGAGCCAAAGGCAACGGCGCGCGAGCTATACTCCCGATTATATATAACATCTCCCAAAGAGCTACCCTTAAAGTCGGGAGGGGAGGAGACGGAGAGCATAGCCGCGCAGCCGTTAGGCTCTACAAAGGCCGCGCGCGCAACTGTTTGCAAGAAAACGGTGCATACAGACTGGCCTAACACCAGACTGTAAGGCGAGTTTCCTCGCAAGGCATTTCACGCAAATACGAGACAGCCCCTTGGATGGTAAAGGGCTATCGGCCCGGCTAGAGGTAAGCCAAACGGACCATACCCCACCGAGCAAACGGGCATTAAGGCAAAGAGCCTGAATCGCATTGAACAGGGTCGTTACCAAGCGTGAAATGTAAGGCTCGTTTCCGAGCACCTAGAAGGGCGCCTCTGTAGTAGGCGCCCATACTGGCAAATTGGACCGCGGGGGCAACAAGGACAGACTAAAACTGAGTAGA